GTGGCGGCCATCTTGGTTGGTTGACCAGGTCACGCCACACATTTTTAAAACTAGATAACCAAATGATGATTGTGGCCAAGTTTGGTTTAATTTGGCCACGGAGTTTCAGAGGAGAAGATTTTTGTAAAAGATTACTAAGATTTACGAAAAATTGTTAAAAATTGACTATAAAGGGCAATAACTCCTAAAGGGGTCAACTGACCATTTCAGTCATGTTGACTTATTTGTTAATCTTACTTTGCTGAACATTATTGCTGTTTACAGTTTATCTCTATCTATAATAATATTCAAGATAATAACCAAAAACAGCAAAATTTCCTTAAAATTACCAATTCAGGGGCAGCAACCCAACAACAGGTTGTTCGATTCATCTGAAAATTTCAGGGCAGATAGATCTTGACCTGATAAACAATTTTACTTCATGTCAGATTTGCTCTAAATGCTTTGGTTTTTGAGATATAAGCCAAAAACTGCATTTTACCCCTATGTTTTATTTTTAGCTGTGGCGGCCATCTTGGTTGGTTGGCCGGGTCACGCCACACATTTTTTAAACTAGATACCCCAATGATGATTGTGGCCAAGTTTGGTTTAATTTGGCCCAGTTGTTTCAGAGGAGAAGATTTTTGTAAAAGATTACTAAGATTTACGAAAAATGGTTAAAAATTGACTATAAAGGGCAATTACTCCTAAAGGGGTCAACTGACCATTTCGGTTATATTGACTTATTTGTAAATCTTACTTTGCTGAACATTATTGCTGTTTACAGTTTATCTCTATCTATAATAATATTCAAGATAATAACCAAAAACAGCAAAATTTCCTTAAAATTACCAATTCAGGGGCAGCAACCCAATAACGGGTTGTCCGATTCATCTGAAAATTTCAGGGCAGATAGATCTTGACCTGATGAACAATTTTACCCCATGTCAGATTTGCTCTTAATGCTTTGGTTTTTGAGTTATAAGCTAAAAACTGCATTTTACCCCTATGTTCTATTTTTAGCCGTGGCGGCCATCTTGGTTGGTTGACCGGGTCACGCCACACATTTTTAAAACTAGATACCCCAATGATGATTGTGGCCAAGTTTGGTTAAATTTGGCCCAGTAGTTTCAGAGGAGAAGATTTTTGTAAAAGTTTACGGACGACGGACGACGGACGCAGGACGACGGACGACGGACGCAAAGTGATGAGAAAAGCTCACTTGACCTTTCAGGTCAGGTGAGCTAAAAATTGGTTGTTCGTGGCATCCAATAAAATGTTCAATAGAATCAAAATTATCCTTCTTTTCTTTAAACAACAATAAAAAAACTTCCATCATTAGAAAACTGACAGTATTTTGACTTTTTTTATTGTGGTATTTGATGAGCTTCTGTAACAGCTATGAACAATTCCATTCAAATAAATAATTTTTTCACATAATCGATAACATATAAAATTTTCAATTGTTTTTCATACAAAGTAAATAACTAGATCTATAACACTAAATTTGACACATTACAAACTGAACTATTTCACAGTATTTTCAACAGTATCATTTAAATGGCTTTTTTCAATTATTGTGCACCAAGAGTCAACTCAGACCTAGATCTATAACTTACATGCAAAAGTTGAGGTTTTCAAAAATGGTTTACAGCTAGCTAGATTCAAAGTATAAAACATTATCTTGGTTTTACAACTCTGTAGTTTTCCTGAAATCTATTTGCATAAATCTGTTTATCATCAAATTCTTTTTTGCTCAAATATGTTAATAAATATGCTTATCCTATGTACACAGGAGTTACACCTTATCACATTTAGTTTTGTTGTAGTTATTTCCCTTTGGACAGGAGACAACTCTTAGTAGGCTATGAGCCCAGGCAAGTGAAGAGCTATCTTAATAGGTATAAATATGCCCATATCCTTTTTGAAATTTCTTGACATATATCAAATACATAATTATTAGTCAGCAGCACAGAAACCTATATTAACAAGGATATTTTTTCAAATAAAAAATACTTTTAGGGGTTGCGGAATGGTACCATGGATTCATGTTAAAGGGAGCAGAAAATTACATCATCTTTGCCAAAAAAGTGGGTGCAAATAAATAAGATAATAATATCTTTCATCTTTATATAGGAAAACAAAAGGGTTGTACACATTTTGGCCAACTTCAGGGGATGTTGTACCCCTCCCCCAATAAACCCTTAAATAATCTTAAAAGTTGCATAAGTCTTTTAGTTAAAATAAAATAGTGTTTTTTTCATTCCCCTACATTTGAATTACCAAAATACAAAAATATTTCAAATCTAATATCTGTCCAACATCACTAGCTATATATATATTTAATATCTATTTTTTATCTTAAGTTTTATAACCATTGATATATTATCACAATAAATGAACAGATTATTAACTTTTATGATAAATTACAGTTAACCTATACTAAAGTCAACTCAAGTACTCATGTACTTATACAGATGCTGTAAATGCATGTCAATAAAAAAATTCTGGAAAAAAAAACAAAGACTTTTAGTTTGACATACATTCTGATTTCTTATAAATTATATATAGTAAAATGAAGGTCTTTTGGTACATTTTACAACTGACAAAAACATTTAAAAATAACAGGTAACTAATCAATTTGTTAACATCTGTCACTCAAGAGACTACACATCTATTTATACATTTAGATTTACCATATTAAAATATTATAGATTTTATAATGGGCAAATATGTACTAAAGGAACAACCATTTAACTTCAAGGGTTATGGTTTTTTCTTAAAAAAATATTCTGATCCCTAAACATATATTTGTTCACATCAGTTGTACCAGTGAAGAATTATTTAGATTTCAATATGAAACAAACAAAAAAACGGTCTTTCTCTGGAATTTTGAAAGGACACCAAACTGCAGTCGGTCAAAACAATTTAGTTGTTTTAACTTCAAGACTATTCTATATAATAGAAATTAATATCATATGACTTAAGGATGTTTGCTTCTCTTGTTTCAAAATAAAAACTTTATAAAAGACTGTTATAAATCGAAAGTATATGTATATCGGACCTAAAAAAGCAGAAAAAATACAAAGTCTGTGTCCTTGCTTTTGAGATATAAGCTATTGAAAATTTGGTGGGAAATGATTTTCTCTAGATTTTTCATACATCTAACATTGGCTCCTTTTCTCTTTCAAAAACTATGAAAAATTAACAAGATAAGATTTTCAAATAAAATGCTCCGCAGGGCACAGCTTGATACGACCGCAGAGGTCGAACCCTGAACAGTTGGGGCAAGTATGGACACAACATTCAAGCTTGATACAGCTTTGCATTTGGATTGTGATTAAATATTTGACACAGCATAGGTTTCTGACACAGAATGAATGTGGTCTAAGAACTTAAAAATTTTAAATTGGACATTCACCTATTATGGTCCAATATCCAAAATCTAAATACATGGTTAGATTCAGCATATCAAAGAACCCCAAGAATTCAATTTTTGATGAAATCAAACAAAGTTTAATTTTGGACCCTTTTGACCTCAATGTGGACAAAGTTGATAACGGGGCCCAAAAATCAAGTCTAAATACATGGTTAGATTCAGCATATCAAAGAACCCCATATATTCAATTTTTGTTGAAATCAAACAAAGTTTAATTTTGGACCCCGATTTGGACCAACTTGAAAACTGGGCCCATAATCAAAAATCTAAATACATGTTTAGATTCAGCATATCAAAGAACCCCAAGAATTCAATTTCTGTTAAAATCAAACTAAGTTTAATTTTGGACCCTTTGGACCTTAATGTAGACCAATTTGAAAACGGAACCAAAAATTAAGAATCTAAATACACGGTTAGATTCGGCATATCAAAGAACCCCAATAATTCAATTTTTGATGAAATCAAACAAAGTTTAATTTTGGACCCTTTGGACCTCAATGTGGACCAATTTAAAAACGGGGCCCAAAATCCAAAAACTAAATACACGGTTAGATTCAGCATATTAAAGAACCCCAAGAATTCAAGAATAAAACCCCATTGAAATTGGTCAAGAAATAAGCAATTTATACGAAGTATCTTCTTTTGCACAATACTGTGCAATTAAATATTTCTTGCTATTGCGCAATACTGTACAATTGACAATTTCTTGCTATTGCGCAATATTGTGCTAATAGATATTTCTTGCTATTGTGCAATACTGTGCAATTGAAGATTGCTTGCTATTGCGCAATACTGTGCAATTGAAGATTTCTTGCTATTGTGCAATACTGTGCAATTGAAAATTTCTTGCTATTGCACAATACTTATTATATAATAATTTACACATCCTGTTTGGTGTGTATCTCCTACCATATCATTATTATTTGCTTTTAAATATAAATCAGAAATAACCAACTTAAAATGGAAAATTTTAAAAGAAAAAAAAAAGGAAAAAAAGAAAAAAAAAGAAAAAAAAAGAAAAAAAAAAAAAATCCCCCCCCCCAAATTTTTTGAACCCCCTTATGATTCATCACCCCCAAACTCAATCCCAGCCTTCCCTTTGTGGTATGGTACCTTGCAGTACAATTTCAGAGAGATCCATACACTTGAACACAAGTTATTGTCTGGAAACTAGAAAAATGTGTTTTTTGGCCCCAAATTCCTAAACATTTAGGGCAATTACCCCCAAACTCAAACCCAGCTTTCCCTTTGTGATATGGAACCTTGTAGTACAATATCAGAAAGATCCATACACTTACACACAAGTTATTGTCCTGAAACTAGAAAAATGCTTGTTTTTTGCCCCTTTTTGGCCCCTAATTCCTAAAATATTGGGGCAATTACCCCCATCATCAATCCCAGCCTTCCCTTTGTGGTATGGTACCTTGCAGTACAATTTCAGAGAGATCCATACACTTGAACACAAGTTATTGTCTGGAAACTAGAAAAATGTGTTTTTTGGCCCCTTTTTGGCCCCCAATTCCTAAACGTTTCAGCAATTACCCCCAAACTCAATTCCAGCTTTTCCTTTGTGATATGGAACCTTGTAGTACAATTTCAGAAAGATCCATGCACTTACACACAAGTTATTGTCATGAAACTAGAAAAATGCTTGTTTTTTTGCCCCTTTTTTGGCCCCTAATTCCTAATATTTTGAGGCAATTACCCCCAAAATCAATCCCAGCATTCCTTTTGTGATATGGAACCTTGTGGTACAATGTCAGAGAGATCCATACACTAACACACAAGTTATGTCTGGAAGTAACAAAAATGCTAATTTTTGGCCCCTTTTTGGCCCCTAATTCCTTTACTGTTGGTACCATAACCCCCAAAATCAATCCCAACCTTCCTTTTGTGGTATTGAACCTTGTGGTAAAATTTCATGGAGATCCATTCACTTAAACTAAAGTTAGAGTGCGAAAACCAATGTGTCTTCGGACGACGCCGGACGACGACGACGCCAACGTCATACCAATATACGACCACAAAATTTTTTTTGCGGTCGTATAAAAATATCCATATACCATAAAGGGTTCTAGGAAAAGGTGTGCATGATTGTCCTCTATGGAAGAAATAGTGTAAGGTGTAGAGAGGCTAATCTTATTTTGAAGATTTTATACCAAAAAATGATTTTGTTTTATCAATGGTGGGAATACAACCTCTTCTCTTTGAGTTACTATTCAAAGTTGTTTAACATCTTTTAGTAACACTGGAAGGTTCCATACAATGTATTCTGCTTAAATGGGAAGCTGTAGGCATGGAGCTAATTTGATTTAAGCATACACATGGTGATATCAATTACTCAGACATAAGGGTTTTTGCCATTATTAAATTCTTCAGTATAATTGTCCCTAAGAAATGCAACCTTTGAAACCATGAGAACAAGGTCAAACTAATAGAGATTTGCTTCCATTGGCTATAAGCATCTTTCAAGTTTCTGCATAACAGAGGAAACTGAAATTGGACTAAGAAATAGCTGTACATAAAAATATAATACCCATATCAAGATACATGTATTATCAGTTACACAGTGTGCTAGTGACCTAATACGATATATACAGGGTCATTAAATTTCCTATGGGGTGAGAGCGAAGCTCAAACCTGATATGAAATTTACTGACACCTATATATCATTTTAGGTCACAAGCACACTGTGTAAAGAATTTATCTTACTATCTTAACGTCTGGAATTCAGACTAGTGGCCTATTAAAGTGATCAAGTCTTCAATATTAAGAATCTAATGTCATTGGTCTCTACAAAACCAAATACCAACAATAACAATTTGTTTGCGTTTAATGTTTTTTCTGCATTCATTTTCATTCATTTATCATCAATTTTTTCATCTGTTGTTTGCGCGAAATGTTTCAGATTTTTTTTTAACGTCATGTTGTTTTTATAAAGAGACATAATAATGCTACTAACTGTGTATTCAAATCAAACAGGCCCACTAACCTAATATCATATATACAGGGTCTCCACATATTCACTTTTAACCAATGATATTCCTAGAAATGTATAGGAGGTAAGATAAATATAAATATCAATTCACACAGAATATACCACAAAGTTTCAAAACGCAAATCTTTGGTGGATAGTTGTCTCATTGGCTATCATATCAAATCTTTGGTGGATAGTTGTCTCATTGGCTATCAACTCTCCTTCAGGTTCTCTGATGTTTTTAATGTGTAAATTACAGTCAGGTTTATTCCAGGGAAAAGTTGAAAACATCTTAGCATCTCAACTCAAATTTGACAACAGCTACTTTACAGCATAGAGTGTGTCAGCCCTTTGATTGAAAAAAAAACATCATTACCGGTATATCATATAAAATTTCAAACAAATTCACCTTGCCATCATTTTTACCATTACGGGCATTTGAACCCCTCTTTCCGTAAACCCTGAATCCACCCTGCTGTCTGTCTTTAAGCGACTTAAGGTTTTTGATTGCCCATTGGTATCTCTAAATGAATTACTGTGAAATGTTACACCCGTTTTGACTTTAACTGTAGAAGGTCCTTGCAAAATGTATTTTTAACTTCAAATAATATCTTAAATCATTTCAAATCACTCACTACATTTATACATAAAATTAGTGTTGATATTGTATACATCAAATATATACAAACTATGTACAAAAACACCAAAAAAAAAACTATAATTATGTTAAATAAACAATTCTGAAACACAACATTTCAACTTCTCTAAAAATGTGAGATTTGAATACGAGACATCAATTGATGGGATACTGGCACATATAAACTACTCAAAACTTAACAACAAAATTTTAAAATTTAAAAAATTTTGTCAAAGCACTGTAAAAACAACAATGCACAAAAATATAGCACTATGTTAAAATACAACCAAAAAATTATCATGAAAATGTCATCTCTTACAAATTTACATACACTTCATACATAAGAACCTTCCATTTATTATAATAGGTTTACTCTGAGAAAAGGTATTACAAAAAAATATTGCCTGAAAACTAGATTGCCATTTATATATATAGCATGTATAGTAAAAGTAGAAAATTAGTTGAGGTTCAATTATAACTTTTACAAAAATATTTTGGCTGCAAAATAGAACAGTCTTCAGGGCCTTCATAATTTGTAAATTTTATAAATTTTGGAAAAATTTATCAGTCTATCCTCAATAATAAAATTTATAAAAGAAGAAAAAAGTATTTTTGGATCATTCCAGATTCTGATTTTACAATTAATTTCCTGCTAAAAATGAAATAAAAAAACGACACAGCTTAAACTTAGATGATGTAAATTGGTCTAAAATGCTGTATGTATAATAATAATTATTGTAATTGAAGCCTTATGTGTTTTTTGTTCAAATATAAAAATAAACTCATCATAGATACCAGGATTAAATTTTGTATTTACGCCAGACGCGTGTTTCATCTACAAAAGACTCATCAGTGACGCTCAAATCGAAACAAGTTAAAAAGGCCAAATAAAGCACGAAGTTGAAGAGCATTGAGGACCAAAATTCCTAAAAGTTTTGCCAAATACAGCTAAGGTAATCTATTCCTGAGGTAGAAAAGCCTTAGTATTTCAAAAATTCTAAAGTTTTGTAAACAGTTAATTTATAAATATGACCATATCAATAAACCGTCATATTTCTAACAAGCATGAAGGCATGAGGAGAAATTTTTTTCATAAACAGGACTTAGGAAAATGTATTTATACACCAATCCCAAGTAAGTCTGCCATTTAAAAAAATATTACGTTTTTCTGTTATTCTTCAGCGTCGAAACAGAAAATGTTTGATGAAGTCAACGAAAAGGGATTGTTTTACAAATGTCATTGGGTCAACTGGGAAAAATTGCTGAACTCAAGATTAGTGTATTAATACACAAACTATTTTCATTCTATGTAAATATATTATCAAATGTTGTCTAAAATTGAATCTGATATATCCCCTGTTGTACCAAATTCAAACTGCACAGATGGGTCAAACACATCACTTGGTTTATGAACAAGCCGTTGAGGAAGATAAAAGTTTGGTGGCAGTCGCCTTTGTTCATGAAACACCCTGTTCCCTGAATCAACAACATTTCTTTGTCCTACATATTGCACTCTAGGATTAAGACTAGATTTAAAGTCAAAATTATCAGGAATATTTACTCTTGAACTTTGACCTTTGTCACCAGAATGTATTGATATTGTTTCATTTTCTAGTTGATAAGGAGGCAGTAATTTCTGAGGTAATTCCTTTTTCTGAGGCGTGGTTGGATAAACTTCAACTTCCTCCGGGGAGGACACATCTTCATAGTCTGTGTTAGGCACAACATTTGACGAGACTTTGGGTTTGTTTGTTAAATTACAGGGAGCACTCATTTGACGATGTACTTGTGAACTACTGAATCTATCCCTATTCATTGGACCTGTATATTCTAAACCCTGATTTGAACTTGACAAAAGTCCTTGGTTACTAATCTGTCTAACAGAATGTATTGAATTTTGGAAGTCAAACACGCTTCCTTTAGAAGAGGCAACATAGTTTCCTGATGAACTAGGTATAGGTGAACAAATGGCAGACTTTTCTGAACAAGGAGGAGCGTTTTGATAGCCTAGGTGACTTTTTACATGCGACTGATCAAACGACTGACTTCTATGCATATTTGACAAGCTTGACTGATGATGTGCATGTTCAGTCCGCAATCTAGTGCTTAAGGACAAAGGTTCTGATTGTTGTAATACTTGTTGAAATTTATCACTTCTTCCTTTGCTGACGATTTGTTCATTTTGGAGCAAAGAATGTGTTGACATTTCTTGATGAGGTATTCTTGATGCATTTTGAAATTTCGATTTTCCATGAGAATGGTCATGATATTTCCTTTGACCATGAGATAAGGTCTCATGCTGTGGTACATGATGTAATCTTGAATAGGGATCCACTTTTGAACTAGATTTAGGACCCTCTACAGATGAGTTGTCAGAATTTTTCATGTGTGATTGCCTGTGATGTGCAGCCATTTTTGGATGCTTTCGTTGATACTGAAAACTGGGACTTACATTTGACGTTGGGCTGGATGTTAAATGATCTTGAATTTGATCCTTATTTTTGTTCAAAAAGTGATCCTGAACTTTATCACTTTTATGAGACATCAAATGCTCCTGAATTTTATTCATTTTACTCGGAATAAAATGATCCTGCAATTTTTCCATCCTATTTTGAACACAAGAATCTTGAACATTTTTTCTACTTGCAGAAAACTGCTCTTGAATTTTATCCATTGCATTTGAATTCATTTGAACTTTATCATTCTTATTAGGCACAAAATGATTCTGAAATTTATTTGATTTATCAATCATATCTAATATAGCATCCTGAGGTTCTGTTGAAGAAGTTATATAATTGTTTGATTTTGTAATCACATTACGAGTTTTCTCAGATACAGCACATTCTGGTGGCATTGCTAAAGACTGTTGTTGATTTGAATTAAAAAAATTAGTTTTTCCTGTTAGACTTTGTCGTCTTTCTTGCGGTTTATTGTAATTTCTTAAAATGTTAACATTATGGCGTTGCTTCTGCTTACTAAAATCCTGTCCATTTTCAGTATTTTTAGGTCTATTCTGATTGAAGGATGGAGAAACAATCACATTTTGTCTTTTGTCCCATCCTTCAGCATCAGGTGACTGAGCAGCAGTCTGTTGTCTATTTTGAGAAAAGACTTTAGGGGAAGGAATAGAACTTGGTTTGTATGTGTTTAAATGTACATCAATTAACTGTACAGGAGTGAAACTAGTATCAAAATGAGTATGATGGTTAGATAGGATGGAACTATCTTGAGAATTGCCTCGCTGAACAATAGGAGGGTATTCCTGTATGCTCTTTTGCTGGTCAACATTTCCTAATGGACTGAAGTTTGAAGGTGAGACATATATCTGAGGACTTTTCTGTTGTAGTAATGTTATATTAGGTGAAGGCATAGTCCTATTAGAAAGCTGTAATAAACCATGCCCAAATCCTTGACTTTTTAAAATCAGTTCGTTGGTCATTTTTGCAGAAGCCACTTTGGCCAAATCAATGGGTGAAATATTCTGTGTAGGTCCTTCAAGAGGTGGAGATATATCACAAATATAACTTTCATCCTCTTTGCTCTGGTTGCAATCAATAGCTAAAGGCTTCAGAAATGATTCTGACTTCTGGACAGTTTTAGCATTATTAGGTGAATGAATTAAATTAAGTGGAGCTACATTATGTGTAATCACTGCAGCATTTCCTTTCTTTGAATAATTAAATGGTCCAGGTGATTTCCTATAAAGAATATCTGATAAAGGTTGCTCACTTGGAGGTATTATAGAAACTGGCCGAATCGGAGATAATGAATCTGTAGTAAAAAATGTTTCTTCTTTCAGATGCTCTGCATAATCTTCAAAGTCAAAGTTTGTTACTAATGTAGGAGATTCCGGATCACTTGTATCATCTTTGTTTCCATTGTTTAAAGCATCCATTTGAACCTGATTATTTGTTATGATGTTTGGAGGTCGAGGTGACCTTCGTCTACTGGCTAAAGAATCAGATTTGACATGAAAATTTGAACCACTATAGCAACTTGGTGGTGTCAGTAATAGATTGTTCCTGCTGTTTTCAGATACAGATGTCGGAGTTGGCTTACAGGTCATTTTGCTGTTTTGAGAAATTGGTGTCCGAGATTGCTTGCAAATACTTTTGCTGTCATTAAATCCAGAAAAAGGTTTAAAAGTATTGTTGGTTTCCGTAAAGTTTATCATTGACCTTGAACTTGTTTCTGTTTTGGTATCATCTAATTTATTAGCTGAACTGCAAAATAGGAAAAACTGTTCGGATGAGTCAATTTTTGGAATGCATGTTTCACTTTTTTTGTTTATTTCATCTATCCAAGAGTGTGTGACAGTTTTATTTGAGAAATTGTTCTCTTTACTTTGTTTAAAATCTAAAAAGTTTGACTGTTGTGATGAAGAATCCCTTACTGATTTATTCTCTGATTCATTATCTAACTTCGAAACAGTACAGAAATTTGAAGGCCTAATCACACGGTCGTTACAAATCCTTCTTGCTATATGGTCATTGCTCATCATGCTCATAGGTTCATCATTTACAACTGTTATATCAGAAGAAAACTGACCAGAATCGGCTGTATTATTCATAATAATAACCTGACCTTCCTTTGACCTTTTTGACTTAGCAGATGCCCCTCCTGCCATTGTGTCCATAGGTGAAGTAGCATTGGTAAGTAAAGACATAACTGACTTTTCAAATTTTTGTTTAGCTTCTTCAGGAATAGTACCCATTGTCTTAGCTATTAATTCTAACAAGTTGTTCGAGCTATTCTTGTTTAGTTCTTCATCAACTTTAGAAGGCTGAGCCCTTTTGACTGACACTGAATCAATTTCAGTAGACATAATTGGTTTATTTGGATAAACATAAACCTCCTCAGGTTTTGACCTATCTTTAAGAGATTTCTGACTTTCACTAAAAACAATGCTTGGAGTAGAACTAACAAATATATCACATACATGCTTACTCTCACAAAAGTTAGGAATGGCCTTATTCATAAATGATAAATCCGTTACTGAGCTACTTGTAACTTTTTGTCCAATATCAAAACTAAAATCTTTCCTTGAAAAGGATGATCCTGATATACCACTGTCTATTCTGTTGACATTATCTTTTTGTTGAATAGGAGCAGATTTCACTGGACGAAGATCGGCAGATTCCAGCCAATCAATATCAGTACAGAGTTGAGCAATTTTTGAACCTTTTGGTAAGACGATTTCCACTTCCGTAATGCTTTGCCTATCTGACATATCTTCAGTTTTCTCATAATTATGCTTTTCTTTGTTTGCGTTTCCTATTTCTAATATATCATCAAATGTGACCTTGGGTGATGGGAGAATAGAATCGAAAAGAGCGTCCTGTGCACTTAACCCTTTCTTTTCAACTGGTGCAGATATAAGATCTGCAATAGAATGAAAAAGATTTCTCTCCTCCTGTTTTTCCTTCAAATTTTCAGTACTTTTAAGACCTGATAAGTTGTGATTACTTTTGTTCCTATTCACTTTGTCATATGTCAGTGATTCTTTACTTTTAGCGTTGCTCTTCTCTAAAGACGACAATTCTTTGTTTTTCATTTTTTCTTTTTCTGGAATTAAGTTCTCCTTACACTTGGCATTATCGTTTGCCACACATAGAGATTCTTTAGACTTAGAGCTATCTTTTTCTGTAGTTTTCAAAGGTTTTGATTTCGTTTTCAAAAAACTTCTTTCAGTCTGAATGCCAAGAGTTACTGTATAAGTTAACTTCCTGTTTGTACCAGATTTTGTATCAGCAACACAATGTGACGATCTAGTTTGTGAACTTATCTCAGCATCCTTACTTACTCTTTCCAATAGTGATTTTTCCCTCGGTTTTATCAACTTCAAACCAACACTGAAACCATCAAAGTATTTACAGTTCTCCATCTCTTTCAAAATGTCATCCCCATCACATGATACACCAACATCCCTTTTTATTATGACAGGCATTACAATATTATCTCCCCTGTTTTCCTTATCATTTTCAATTTCCGTTATTTTCTTACAACCTTTTTCTTCCTGACTAGAATTAATAGGAGCAATACTAGAATAAGCACCATTTGTGATTGTCGGTGATTTTACAATTTCAACTAAAAGTCCTCCAGCACCATCTGGTGGTGGTGTTTGACAAGGCTGTCCATTGTAAGGTGAGGTAACTGATAAAATATTTGATACAGGTGGTGTGACACTTGGAGAACTAGTCCTTATCAACTGGTCTTGACATGACAAAGATGTCTCCACATTGTCACGGCCATTCCTTTTTACATCCGTAGCACCAAGAATATTTACTAAGTCAGGAGGATCCAGACCATCCTGACTTATGATTACTTTTGCTGAATTACTTTCATTTTGCACATCACTATTTTTAGAAATTTCTGACACTTTTTCAAGAATCGGTGGCGATATTTCTGACCTTGTAGAAGTAATCGATGGGAGAGATTGAACATCCGTATTAGAATCAATTGTTATCTCACATGGTTTAATTTCTTCACTCACTACTGCTTTGTCAATTTCAGTGTTTTCAACTTTTTCCTCATTTGCTTTTCTTAGCGAAACAGAAAACATTCCCAATTTATAAAAATATTTATCCTTTTCTGACAACGTTTCACAATCTAAGGGTTCAAATACTTGACTTTTATCTTTTGGAGTAATACAAAATGTAAAGTAAGGTGATATTAGGCGTTTCCGACTTTTAGATGATTTCTTCGGTTTCTCATGTTTTTCAGATTGCCTTTCTGACTGTACAGTACCTTCCTTCTTTGCTGAATTGTCCAAAATACTTAATTTTCCAGCTATCTGCTTCCGTCTTTTAGCTGCATTTATCTGTCTCTGTGTTAGAGGCAAGGTGTGTACTACACTTTTTTTCGGTCGTAATATTATCTGTGTCATTGTTCTTGTGTTTCGCATTCTACAAGGAATCTGATTATGTTTGATCAACATATCCCTTGTTTTGAATGTCCTTTCACAAGCTTTACATTTTACAGGCTTTTCGTTTTTCAATTTTTGAGCAGTATTCTTTTTACTGTCTGGTACTTTTGTTTTTGTGGCTGGTTTTTGTTTACTTTGTGGTTTTGTTTTTGAACTATTTAACACAGCTGATTTAGACTTTTCAATTTTCTTGTCAACAGTTTTATTACTTTCTCTAATGTTACTTTTCTTTTCCTTTGCCTTATTTGAATTCACTACTGCTCTTTCTTTCGCACCAACTTTCCCATTTTTCTGTTTTTCAGGAACTTTTGCCTTAAGTAGTGGTTTCTGTTTTCCATTAACAGCTTTTTTAACACTTTTTGCAGCCCTTGTTTGCTTTTTAGAATTGGATGCATTTTTCTCATTTGATAAGCAGTCAGTCAAAAGAACAACCAAATTTTTCTTCCCATCATTTCTCGTCTTTAAAGTTTTAGCATTTTTTGCCTCTTTTGTCTTCGTTTTTAAATCACTTTTCCTTTTTGCTTTGTTATTATTTTCTTCTTTTTTATTTTCACTTGCATTATCACCTTCCAGTGGACTTTCTTTTTCTGTCTCTACCTCTTTCACATCTGTTATTAATTGTTCCTTTTTGTTTATTTTTAATTTTATTCTATTGTCAACCTTTTGTTTCACTTTGTTTTTTAACAATTTATCCTGCATTTCTTTAAGAGTCATTTCCTTTTTTTTAACTTTTGTTGGAAAATCGTCAAAAAAGTCTTTGCTTTTTCTTTTCCTAATTCGTTTGGGAAGAGCAGCTCCTATTCCCCACACTTCAGATTTAGGTTTTTCTCCTGTGACTAATTTCAAAGTTATTTTCGGTATTTTGTTACTATCAGATGTCTGCGGTTGATGACTTGAAACAATGTATGTTTTATTAAGAGATTCTGTCGATATTTGGTTGCCATCAGTTTCAAGATCTGGATTACATGGCAATGCATCAGGTTTGACAATGGATGTTTCTAGATCACATGATAACACCTCCTGACCACACGGAGACTGAACCTGTTGGCATGGTGAATGCTCAACATGCAGTGGAGATTCTTCTGGTTTTGAGGCACTGGTTTCCAGAGGATGCGGTGAAGGTTCTGGTGTATCAGAAATAAAATCATAGATTTTCAGGGCTTCATCCAACTTATCTGCATTGCTCATCACCTGTAAGCAGATATAATGTCATCTATTAAATCAAAATTACAAAATGGTTTGACGTTTAAACTACATGTAGTTATCAGAGCACATGTTGTATTGACTGACACAAGACATAATTATTATTCGTGTTAACTAAATCAATGCTTTTGCATAAATTTGATAACAATACGAAAGGAGATCAGGATTCTCACTAAGTTAGTCCATGACTCATGAAAATCTGTCTGAACTCATCATTTTCAAAACCATGAAGTCCAGAGATGCACTAAGATTGTAAAATGCTGTATCAACTGAGCACATGTATCATCATTTTATATCAAAAGTTTTAAAATAATCTAAATTAGTTGTCGTTTCCTTGCTTTTTTTGTCATAGAGACTGAAATGATAAAGTATATAGCAATAAAATTTCATCTTCTCAATGTTGGGACTCGCCATGGCTAAAAATGACAAGTACCTTTATTTGCTATCAAAAATCCATAATGAGAACCCTGGAGCTTTGAACAAAATATAATATAATAAAAAGAGTTCCAATGTCCCCCACGTTGTACATATTTTATCTATCCAAGGTACAAGGGCAATAACTAAAAAAAAGCATTTTTTTTCTTAAAACTTTTTATTAATATCTTAGAGAAATGAAGGCTTCAGAGCAAATGCAATGTGATTTCCATTATATTTAATATTTCCAAGGGGCATAACTCATTAAAAATATTTGATCAGCACTTATTTTCGACAGTGTCACAGACATTGCTGATACAAACCTATGACATAAGTTTCATAAAATTCTGGTAGTAATTGTACACATCAGAACACAATTTTCCATATAATCAATATTTCCAAGGGGCCTAGCTCTTTAAAAAATAATTGATCGGCACTGATTTTTAAACTTGTCAAAGACATTGATGATATAAACCTATAATATAAATTCATAAAAATCTGGCAAGAATTGTACACAGAGCGCTCATAAGGCAATTGTCCATATAAATCAATATTTCCAAGGGCATAACTCTTTTAGAAATTATTGATCGTCACTGATTTTCGAACTCTTCCAAGAGATTGCTGATATAAACCAATGATATAAGTTTCATAAAATTCTGGCAAGAATTGTACAAATGAAAGCGCTAACAATGCAATTTTCCATATAATTAATGTTTCCAAGGGGCATAACTCTTTAAAAAATAAATGATCAGCACTGATTTTCGAAATTGTCCAAGACATTGCTGATATAAACCTATGATATAAGTATTATAAAAATCTGGCAAGAATTGTACACGTGAGAGCGTGAACAAGACCGGACGGACGCCCAGTGTTTCTATGTCCTCAACACGTTACGCAGTGGACAATATATAATAACCAGAAAATGCCTAAATGAAATAGTTGAGCCTGTCTACTGCTATGTTGAAGATATAACTATATAAGATGTATAATACATTGACACATTTTGAGTCTCATCAACGAGTTACACGCAGATCAACTCTTGTTGCTTTACAGCTGAGAGAAAATAGCTACCTACCTATTTTTTGTAAGTTGTACTAACAAAAACTTTAGTCTTGGTGCATGTGACATGATGTCAATGTTACATACACATTTTGAGGTCAATCTAAATTTGTATCATATTATAATATAAATCAATATTATGTCAGATTTTTAAAATTTTTCAATCATTCACAAATATGATAAGAACTTAAAATATTCTTTAACTGAAGTTTTTCATCGTACATCTAAGTCTATTGGGTGCTGCAATATGTATTTTTTTCTTTAATAATGATGTATGTAACACCGTTTGTTGTAAAAATGTTACATGAACATGTCAATTTCTACTTTATGGCTAAAAATATTTCAAGAATTGACACTGAATTGTTTTTTGTAGGAAACGTTGATACCTTTAAGCACTAAAATCAAGTAAACATACATATCATAGGACATGCACAAAATGCCACACTTTTTGTTACATAAAAACCTTGATATATGATAACAAATTCATTCCTTTTTACACAAGGTTGAGTAAGCTTGTATTCATGAATAAATATAATACGTTTGTTTAAAAAATTTACATCTTAAATTAATTCTTGGAAGTGTTTTAATATTCATGAATGACAATGGTTCTACTCTTGTAATTTGGCATAACCCCCCCCCCCCCCCAATCTATTTATTGATTTACATGAAAATCCCTACCCATCCATATCTTTCATAGGAAAATCACAAACCATTTATATATATATATATTTCCCATATTTCCCAGCTATCATGATATCTTATTTAGATGTTAAACCACATGGGATCATTCATATCATAAGATAAAAAGATCAGAACACAGTTTTTACAGACATATTTATAGTAAATGCACATTTATGACCCATTGACATGTAAATTTCTACCCTTTTATTAATATCTCCGTAAATTTGTACCCCATTGATATTTGACATTCCAAAAAAGGGACCCATACCAGCTGCACGTCTATGTATACCTTTACATAGGAAGAGATCCCTGTGTGGAATTATTGCATATTTTATGATTAAGTGTCTTAACTTGTAATTGTTAAAAAAGGGGGACACTTATGATTATGTATATATATTGTATATTTTATGAAATTCTTGGGAAAAGATCTTTTTTTGTCTTAACAACACTGAATAAAAGTTTTTATTCCATAATATAAATTATCGCTTGTCTTTGCTAATTACAGTTATCAAATAGTGAAGTAAACTGACTAAACTTGATCAATATATTCTCCTGTCAGTTGTCAACACAGGTAAAAATTGATAAGTGATCATTAACCTAATACCCTGGAGTAAACAAAATCTTAGGGGACCTAAAGATTACAATACCAGTGGCAGTTTTATATCAGGAAAAGTATCGAAATGAAAATTAAGTTACTGAATAAATTTCTAACAAAACTGTTTTGAAAATGTCCAATCTTGCTAAATTTTCAAAATTCATTTTAATAATAAATTTGGAATTTTATATCAAGTCTTCAAAATATGTCATTACTGGCAAATATGACCATTTCTGAACTCTTAAATGTGAGACCTGTTACAGAATATCAGTGTTACAGATGACCACAGATATGTCCAACTTGTAATAGCCACAATCCTGTATGCATTTCATCCTTTGTGATATCAACAAATGTAAAGTATCACCAATTTTTGCAGGCAATGACTGTGTATAACAATGAGTGCCACTCATTGGGCAGTAGCTGCTTATCCTTCCAGAGCACCTGAGATCACACATAGTTTTGGATGGGATTCGTGTTACTCAGTCTTAGATTTCTATGTTGTGTTTTGTAAACTTGTTATTTGTTCTTTGGTCTTTTTTTGTTTTTCTTGTTTTGCAATGCCATTGCCAGTTTGTCATTGACATATGAGTTTGACTATCACTTTGGTATCATCTGCCTCTCTTTCACCAGCAAGTTCCTCCACTTTTTTGGTAGGAATAAACAATGTAGCTCAATTTGAAACTTTCTATGCAATGTTTTGAATTGTTTGTGGACTTGTATTTTTGTTTAGTTTGCTCACTTGGTATCGTAGCCATCTCATTACAATATGAAATCTTGTAATAGGAAAATAACTTAATATAATAATAACTTCTATTTCATTTGGTCTCTCTTTGAAAGTTGTCTCATTGGCAATCATTCCACATCTTCTTATCTTTATATGGGAATAAACTTGATAGTCAGGAGCCTGTAATACAGTGGTTGTTGTTTGTTGCTATATATATCAAATCTGTTTTTTCGTTTATTGTTTTGTATATAAATCAGGCTGCTCGTTTTCTCGTTTGAATTGTTTTACATTTGTTATTTCAGGGCCTTTTATAGCTTACTATGCAGTATGGGTTTTGCTTATAGTTGAAGGCCATATAGCAACCTTTAGTTGTTAACTTCTATGTCATTGGTCTCTGGTGGAGAGTTTCTCATTCATTTGTCATTGGCAATCATATCACATCTTCTTACTTTTATATTGACACATTGACTGTTATAATTAATGTACATTACCTGACTACTATTGGCATTTTCTGAATTTTCATCTAGCTTCTTATGAGAACCATTCTAAAAAAAAGATTTTAATTGAACATTACTGTCAAGTATTAAAAGGATAATTAAAAAACATTTATTTTTCTAATTTATACATTCGTATAAGCTATAAATTAGCTACCCAACCAAGAATGATACCATTTCTCTAATTCTTAGTCAATTTATCCTTTCCCCGACTTTTCTTACATTCCTCAGATTTTGCAATTGTAACGTCACAAAACAAACCAAGAATATTACCTTTTAAAGTCTTAGTCTTGCTCTCATATATATAAATACATATACATGACTACTTTTAATATTTCTCACAAATAATCATGATAATTCAAATGTACTAATTTCTGTTAATTTCAAAATCCTATATATCCATTAAGAAAACAAACTTAAACAAGGAAATTTAGTTTTGAATTAATTAACTGATATCTCATTATATACATGTACTTCAATTAACTTCACTACTACCTTTAAAATGAACAATTTGGGTTGCTGTCTCATTGACATACATTATATATATCCTTCTATTCAAAATCCAAAAAAATCAATGAAATCTGAACACTTAAACATGTGTTCACACAATCTCACTTGATCATATCTATCAAACGGAAATAAAAATAAAGTTTTTTCCATGTCGTAATATTGATCAATCAATAAATAGCTTAAGAAGTCAGTCAAGAATTGTTTTTCATGTACGTCACTAAAAACTTTTAAAACATCAATGTAGATATTTACACTATTAGTTTTTTTAATACAAATCCCAATGTACAATAGTTCCTTTTTTATTTTTGGATGTCATAAAAAAGCATGTGATAGAAATGGAAGAACATATTAAAATTCTCCGTTACTAGATATAGGTTAATCATGATTATAGTTTATGAAAACTGGTTCATCTGGTCTCCTCAAGGCGTTTAGTATTCTACTTTCAGTCTTCACATGTACAATGTATCCCTTAAGCTTATAACAGAGACCTCTCACTTTCAGTATTAAATATCAGGTTAATTACTATTTCTACGATCTTTTATAACTGAGCATTCCCTGTTGTGTAGGTCTAACCTTTTGACTCCAGACAGCCAGAGCTAAGACATTTAAACAAGTTTTTGTTTTTAATAAATATAAAAATTAGGTGATGAAGTATGATTGCCGATGAGACATCTATCCACCAGAGACCTTTAGGATGAGGATGTAAACAACAATAGAACATTCTATGGCCTTTAACAATGAGCAAAATCCATACCCCATAGAAAGCTGTATGGAGGATTGTTATGAAAAAATGTGAAATACTTTCATCAAGAAAACCAACAGACTGTTCTTAATGCTTAAGGTGGTACCTAACACTACAGGGAGATAACTCTGTAAAAATCAGCTAAACGTTTTAACTACGTTGTATTGTTAAGGAAATATTAAGCTTCTCAATGATCAAAATTAGTGTTTGTCAAACTGGTTGGTTTTTTTTTTTGAAATTTTTATATTTTTGTCAAAGGGTCAAAGTAAACATTTTGTCAAAATTTTATGAAAATTAAACGAGCCAAATTAATATTAGTCAAGGTGTTGGGTACCACCTTAAACAATAAACAAAAAAAACAAATATATGACAGACAGCATGAAAAAACCCACTGAGATACCAGCTCATATTTTTAGGAAAGGCACATAAATTAAAGAATGTGGCGTGTTAAACATGTTTGTCAAAGTCCAAGTATTTTTATTGTGCTGGAAAAACTGTTGATCCCCTTACAAAGGCTGCTTTTTAACACTGGATTAACCAATTGAGCCCAAAACTACTGGTACATTACAAACGACCACTAAAATGTGTGTATGATTGAAGGACAACATGTACATTTGTAGGTGCACAATGTAATAAGGATCTTGATGACCTAATTCTATACTTAGGGTTAGACATTAAAGGTTATCAGATTGCCCAGGACATTAAATGGAAGTCATCATCGGGCAAGTAAAAGCTACAGTGTATGATTGGCAAGTAAAAATTATAAGTACAAATCAGTGAAAAATACTGGAGCTACATGTAGTCTTAATTAATATGAATCACCTGTAGTCTTAATTAATATGAATCACCATATCAACCAGACCAGACACTATCGACAAATTAAAGTTTTTTTAGTATTTTCTAACTATAGACATTTTAATCATTATCAGAGTATGATTTTGTTGTTGACACCAATCAGATGAGACCTAGCTATTTTAGGAAACTATCAGAGACATAATATAAATCTGAGATTTTCTTAGTATCATCACCTTTTAAAACCTTGAACATGTTGAACAAAAGTGAAATGTAGGCCTAGGTAGCACAGTGTTCAGCTACATGTTACTCTCTACCAGAGAAAACGAAAGCTGAAAATGATGAAACAAACAAAAAAATACGAAAAAAGAGGAATATGAGATTTTTTGAGTCCTGGAAAAGACTTTGAGGAAATCTCAGATATATTAGATTATTTTCAAATACTTTTAAAGGACAGACAAATTAGTCATGCCAAATTCTACAACAAACAGAAAACTATAAAAATATTACTGGTACATGTATATTCTGACTTAAACCAAATATTTATAATTCTTCTTTAGTTTGCTCTTAGGTCAAATGTAGGTCACTGGTGAACTAGTCTCGTTCAAGTGGCTGAGTACAATACTTTTGCCAATCTGCTTCATTTCATTCCTTTTCTAATTGCATGTACATTTTTGTACCTGATTTTATGTCCACCAATGGCAGTACTTGTATATCAAATTTCCTGAGCCAGAGAAAAATTTGGACAAATGATTTTCTCTTTCTTCAAGTTAATATTATGGTCACTTGCATTGCTCAAAGGGCAAGTTGATAAAAATGTTAATGTCGATTGAATTTTTAATTGAAAAAATTATTGTATATGTTTTTATGGTGAAGATAATGCATGAGAAATATAAGAATAGCATTTCAATAACCGTCACCCCAGCATACATTTTATTTGTTAAAGGGCCATAACCATGATAACTCCATTTTCAATTTCAAGTGTAAAAATCATTTTTAAGTTTCCAAGATCTTGCTGATATACATGTATATATATAAACCTTTGTGATTTAATTTTCAACAAAATTTGACAAGAAATGCAGGCAAATGAGGGCTTCCAGTACAATTTTCAATATAATTAACATTTGCAAGGAGCATCACTCCCAAAACTAATTTCCAAGTCATTTCTGTTATACATGATATAAACCTTTAATATAAATTTCTGAAAAATCTGACAAGAAATGTAGATGTGACAGCACTTTCAAGACAATTTTCCATAGAACATGTCTATAACTTACATTTCTAACAGCATACACTTACTGACATACAAACACTTAATTGGTACTCAGTTTGATTTTTTAACTTGTCTATCAATACATTTTATAAATTATATTACAAATGAGAGCAAACCAAGGCCTGGTAAATCTTCAAAACAATAGAATGCGAAAAGTAAATACCTCGGGTATGCAGGGTTACCATTACGATAAAAATATAAAATGTGAAAGCAGTTATAACAGCAGCACTTTAGGGATCGTCCAGTAATTTAATGAGATTGACATGTTTTGGTGCCTATAAGGGCAACGGCATCAGAATATAAAATAGTACTGAACAATATAGGAAAGTGGTAGATTATGTCACATTGTTACCATGGTAGCTAATAGGTATAAATAGAAAGTGAAAGTAAATACAGGTATGAAAATAAACTTGAACAATAAACAAGCATTCTGAGTATTGCCTGGCAATACATAGTCCCCTACCAGTTAAAAATTCATTGTACTGGAACAAAATGCTAACTTGATCTATAACTTGTCATGGTGTAAACTATATAACAAATATCAAGTCAATATCTTCAAGCATGACAAAAAAAATGTGGAAAATTGATTATTTGAGTGAATTTTCTAAGTCCAAAGACCAGAACAAAATTCGAACTTGATCTGTAACTTGTCATGATAAAACTATATACAAATTATCAAATCAATATCTTCAAGCATGATGAAACTAGAGGCTCTAAAGAGCCTGTGTCGCTCACCTTGGTATATGTGCATATTAAACAAAGGACACAGATGGATTCATGACAAAATTGTGTTTTGGTGATGGTGATGTGTTTGTAGATCTTACTTTACTGAACATTCTTGCTGCTTACAATTATCTCTACATGTATCTATAATGAACTTGGCCCAGTAGTTAGAGTGGAAAATATTTTGTAAAAATTTACAAAAATTTACAAAATTTATGAAAATTGTAAAAAATTGACTATAAAGGGCAATAACTCCTTAAGGGGTCAATTGACAATTTTGGTCATGTTGACTTATTTGTAGATCTTACTTTGCTGTACATTATTGCTGTTTACAGTTTATCTCTATCTATAATAATATTCAAGATAATAACCAAAAGCTGCAAAATTTTCTTAAAATTACCAATTCAGGGGCAGCAACCCAACAATGTGTTGCCTGATTGGTCTGAAAATTTCAGGGCAGATAGATCTTGACCTAATGAACAATTTTACCCAATGTCAGATTTGCTCTAAATGCTTTGGTTTCAGAGATATGAGCCAAAAACTGCATTTTACCCTATGTACTATTTTTTAGCCATGTCGGCCATCTTGGTTCGCGGGCGGGGTCATCGGACACATTTTTTAAACTAGATACCCTAATGATGATTGTGGACAAGTTTGGTTAAATTTGTCTTAGTAGTTTCATCAGAGAAGATTTTTGTAAAAGATTACAAAAATTTATGAAAAATGGTTAAAAATTGACTAAATAGGGCAATAACTCCTTAAGGGGTCAACAGACATTTTGGTCAAGTTGACTTAATTGTAGATCTTACTTTGCTGAACATTATTGCTGTTTACAGTTTATCTCTATCTATAATAATATTCAAGATAATAACCAATAAAATGCTCCGCAGGGCGCAGCTTGATACGACCGCAGAGGTCGAACCCTGAACAGTTGGGGCAAGTATGGACACAACATTCAAGCTTGATACAGCTCTGAATTTGGATTGTGATTAAATATTTGACACAGCATAG